TCTACCGGACTGAGGCTGGTACCCAGCCTTTTGTAGTGCTGGGCCGGCCTCTTGCCTACTGGTACCTACCGGACTGGACCGTTGATCCAGATCAACGGTCCAGTTTTGAAACTGGTTGGCGCATAAATCGTGGCAGCCTCTGAAGCGCCGCCGGTGGGTCCTAGGCTGGACCGGTACCGGCCTTGTGGCCGTTCGGCCTGGGCCTGCCTGAACCGCCGTGGTCCAGGCCCCTCTGAGCCTCATCTGAACCGTCGTCCCTTAGGCTAACCCTGCCTGTCCGGAACCGGGCCCTAACTGGGGCCCGTGTGGCTCAGTATGCCAAAGCCACTGTCTGTGTGTGTTGTCTTGTTGGCTATACACTACTCCACAAAAACGGCATCTGGTACTCAGCCTTTTGTAGTGCTGGGCCGGCCTCTTGCCTACCTAGTACCTACCGGACTGGACCGTTGATCCAGATCAACGGTCCAATTTTGAAACTGGTTGGCACCTAAATCGTGGCAGCCTCTGAAGCGCCGCCGATGGGTCCTAGGCTGGACTGGTACCGGCCTTGTGCCGTTCGGCCTAGGCCTGCCTGAGCCGCCGTGGTCCACGCCCCTCTGAGCCTCATCTGAACCGTCGTCCCTTGGGCTAACCCCGCCTGTTTGGAACCGGGCCCTAACTGGGGCCCGTGTGGCTCAGTATGCCACACACTCCCCCCCTTGAAAGACCGAGCTAACTGCGAGGGCGAAGCTGTCTGTCCGATGTCCGTACAGGGCGGGCAGGTTGGGCAGCTTCCTTAGCAAGTCGCTGTTTTTCGTAATGCGCGAAGATGAGTGGTGTTGTCGCCTTCAGATCAGCTCTTGAGATCCAGCGTGTGTCATTCCGATCGCATTCCTTGAATGTAACTTTGTACTGCATCGGCTTGTTGCCATGCTTGCGATGCGTGAGAACGTGGTCGACCTCCTGATGACCATCCATTGAAGGAGGGTCCTGTGACCGTCTGCCCGGGAAGTCCGCTGCGGAGGCTGGAGTGTAAACTGCCAGCTTTGAAGCGTGAAAGATCGGGTGGACCGTCAAATGCGGGGGAATCTCAACGATGAATGATGGATCCGCGGGGTTGTCGCCAGCTGCTGAAGTGACCATCCATGGTCCAAACCACTTCGGGAGGAGCTTGCGCGAGACGTCCTGCTCAAGCGCGAATTCCTCGGGGACGACCCAAACTAGGTCGCCAGCGCGAATTGGACATGGGATGTGATGCCGGTTCGCTTGCTGCTGCATACAAACCTGAGCCTTTTGCATGTTTGCGTGGGCTTTGGYCAGCAGTTCCCTGTACTTCCGTGTAGAAGCGGGGGAGCAAGCGGTGTCTATATTGGCAGCCCCTGGAAGCAAAATGTCTACGAAGATACGTCCTTTCCGTCCACCGTGGTGCAACTCGAATGGATTCACGCCAATCGCCGGGTGCACCGAAGTGTTGTAGGCGAACTCGATGTCGGGAAGGCAGTCAACCCAGTCCTTCTGATCCGGGCGGATGAGCGTGCGGAGCATCATCTGCGCAGTCTGATGCGCACGTTCCGTTTGCCCATCTATTTGAGGATGTCGTGCAGAGCTTGGTTTCATGCTGGTGCCGGATTCCACCATGAGTGYCGTCCAAAAGGCCGACATGAAACGAGTGTCGCGGTCGCTGACGATGTCTTCCGGAACGCCGTGGCTGCAAAACCAGCTGGTATGCAAAAATCGTGCGAGCTCGGGAGCCGTCGCATGATACTTGCATGGAAGAAATCGAGCGTACTTGCTCAAACGGTCGACAACCATGAGAATACCATCATGACCAAGGCGATCACGAGGGAAAGGACCGGTCACATCCATAGCAATGGAGAGACCCGGTGGCCGAGGAATCGGCAATGGTTTCAGCTCACCGTAAGGGATCTGATAGTGCCCTTTGTTCCGGTGGCGAACTGCACATGACTGAATGTACTGGTTGACGTCGCTAATGATGTCCAGCCAGTGAAATCGCTGGCGGAGTCGTGCTAGTGTGCGTGYGACGCCAAGGTGTCCCGCCAGCCGCGAATCATGGTATTCGCCAAGGAGGCGAGTGCGCAAGATGCGGTCTTGGGGAACACACAACAAGTCCTTGCCTCGCGTATGGAGGAGCAAGTAGCCGTCGGTGATGCGATAGTTGCTTGTCGGCGGTTGGTCCGATGATAAGTCCGCGTAGAGTGTGGAGAATCCCGGATCCGACTTGTAGCCCGTTTACGAAATGGTGTTGGAGGTCCTCGTCGAGGCCGAACATGGAGTGCACCATGGCGCAAAGATCGGGTCTTCGCGAGAGAGCATCCGCCGCCTTGTTCGAGGAGCCCGGAATGTGCTTGGAGGTGAAGTCGAACTGGTCAATGAAGTACATCCACATACCGATCGTGCTGCTCACCGTGTCTTGCGTCTTGTAGTATGTCAACGGATTGTTGTCCGTTGCCCACGTGAATCGCCGACGCCCGAGGAGAAAGTGACGCCAACGCTTAAGTACACTGACAAAAGCTAGGAGTTCTTTCTTCCTCGCATCATCAAGAGTGTTGATGGGCGACATCTTTTGGCTGAAATACTCAACCGGATGCCTGTCTGTGTCGTCATGCTGTTCCAAAACCGCGCCAATGCCGTAACTGGAGGCGTCCGTAGTCACTTTGGTAGGCAACGTCGGGTCATAGATGCTTAAGACGGGAGCTTGAAGCAAAGCCATCTTCAGCGTGTGAAACGCATGCCGGGCCTCGTCGCTGAACTCGAAAGGCACCAAGGGGGAATGAAGTCGCAACAATGGTGCAGCGATGCGTTGAAATCCTTTGACGAAGCGTATGTAGTACGATGCCAAGCCGAGAAAGGAGCGAACGTCGGTAGTACACTTGAGGTCCGGCCAATCTTGAATAGCTCGTAACTTGTCCGCGAGCGGACGAATGCCTTGTGGCGTGACGTAATGGCCCAAGTACTCCAGATCTTGTTGGGCAAACTCGCACTTGTCGCGGTTTGCCTTGTACTTGGCGATACGAAACCGCTCCAATACGGCACGAAGGTGCTCGAGATGCTCGTCCAGCGACCGACTATAAACCAAGATGTCATCGAGGTAAATGAGTACGGAGCGGTCGAGTAAGTAGCGGAATTGCGTCGTCATAGCCGCTTGGAAAGTAGTCGGGGCATTGGTGAGACCGAAAGGCATGACGATCCACTCAAAGTGCCCATACTGCGTCTTGAAAGCGGTTTTGTACCGATCTCTTGGCTGAATCTCGATCTGGTGATAATCGGACTTGAGGTCAAGTTTCGAGAAGTACTTGGCGCCGCCAAGTTGCTCGAGAAGATCATCGATCCGAGGGAGAGGGCCGRCGTTCTTGATCGTTTATGCGTTGAGTTTACGATAGTCGATGCACAAACGAAGGTCCTTGTTCTTCTTCCGAACGAAGAGAATGGGAGCACCGTATGACGAAGAGCTAGGGCGAATCCAGCCCTTGGCCAAGAGGTCGTCTAGTTGTGCCCGAAGCACTTGTAGTTCCTCTTCGCTCATGCGGTAGATACATCCGCGCGGAGGTACGGCGCCGTTCTCGAGAGTGATCCCCTGGTGTATGGGCCGATCCGGTATGACTCCGGCGGGAGCTTGAAAGACATCCTCATAGTTGTCCAACAGCTCAATGATGCGTGGGTCCGACGTATCCGTCTTGGGCTGATCACCGGGTGGGAGGGCGTGAAGAAAACATATGCCCATCTCCTCGATGTCGTCCCGCCGGATGGATTGGCGAATGCTCGCCGCGGATACCACGTGACAACCAATCGAAGGATGAGGAAGCGGCACCGTACACGAGACTAGTTCACCATGCCGATCAGGAACGTGAACGGTGCAGCGATGGAAGTTCACCCGGTGGTCTTCGCTTTGCAGCCACGACATGCCTAGGATCATATCGAACTTGGTGTCCAATATGTCGAAAGACACGGCCTAGCTTGCTAGCGGGGCAAAGTACACGGGCACCGAGTCAACGCATCGGTCGATTGACTTTTGCGTGTGACCATCGGCCAACGTGACGTGCGTAGGCTGACTTTTCCTTCGAACGCGCGGGCCGAGCCCGGCGCGTGCCATGAAGTCTTGGCTGATGTAGTTGCGAGTCGCTCCACAATCGATCAAGGCACTGCAGGTCGCCTTTCCGATCTGAATGCGGATGTAGTGGAGCGGCGCGTCGTTGTCGATGTACCGTTGCGTTGCGTACTCGCGGTCGATCTTCGCAAGATAGTTACAAAGATCAACAACCGCTACTCCGCTGTCCGTCGACGGAGGTGGTACTGCAGCGTGCAAGTATTCGCGTAAATGTGCCATTAAGGCATTGCAATGCGGAGTTGGCAAGGAACCGGTGGAGGGAAGAGGCAACCGTTGGAAGTCCTCAACCGTCAACGGATCGAGATCCTCAAGTCTCGTTCAAGTTGACGGATCCTCTGATAAAAGGGCTGGCGAAGCAACCGGTTCATTATCCGACGGCGGAACTGCCGCGCATACGCTTGAATCTTGCACGCAGAGAGGCTGGTTCAACGGTGGGACCAGCTCGACAGCATAGTTCTCGTACTCAACGCGAGAACTTGCGACTACCGCGATGTCCCCGGATGTGAGAGAGGCTGCTAGCAAGGCAGCCGACTCCGGCGGACTGGGAAATGTTGTTGCTGCACTTCCCGCGGTGCTCAGTTTCCCGAGACCGAACGCTTGACATTTTCCTTGTCCTTGTCGAGGCAGGCACTGGTGACGTGTTTGGCGCTGTTGCACCATAAACAACATGACCATTTCTGTCGCAACTTGAACATTTCTTTGGTAATGCCAAATTTCGTCCATGGTGCCTGTCGTGCTCCATCCGCCGACGCTTCTTTCGCCTTCTTGCCCCCTCGGGGTTTCGTGCGTCGTGGTGGTATCGCTGCCGCCACATCTCCATCACTTGATGTTGAAACGGCTGCGTGGTCCTCACTAGTTCCTTGCTGGACTGCTGCTACTTGCGGCGTTCGTTGTCCCTTGCCTTTCTCCACGTAACCGGGCTATTGGCGGGTCTCGTTGGCCGCGCGTCGGTTACCTTGCCATCAATCCACTTTGTGGTGCGCTCGCCGTGAGACGAGAGGCCGAAGGAAAGAAAATCAGGAAGTCGCCCGATATCATACAGTTACGACTCTAGCGAGACTGTACTTTGCTAAGTGTATCGGCTCCCAATTACAGTCCGACATGGATGTACCTGACTGCATTCCCATCCAGAGCCCAGTTAAGCTGCCTCCGGTGATTGTTGGAAAAAAAAAAAAAAAAAAAAGAAAAAGGGCGGTCCCAAGTGTGAATATGCCCTGCGATCTTTTTTGCCCTGTCGGGGTGAGCTCAGAGTGGGTTCGAACCGGGGACCTGGTTGCTAACGTCGTTTGTTTATTTTTTTCAGCCTTCAAATCGGCCTGCTCGGTAGTTTCAAGCACAACCACGAAAGTTAGACGGAAACAGCTTCCTTCCTGCATGCTGAGCGCAGACTCGAACCTGCGACCTGGTTTGTACTGTTGTGCTTCGCCTCGTACAAAAGAGGAGGTTCGAATGTACTGGTGGTTTAAACTACCACAACCTCCGAGCCTCTCTTTGCTGAGGCGGAGTACAACTGCGCACCAAGCCTTCACCGAAGTGCCAGTGGGAACTTTTTTGTTTTGTTTTGGCTGCTGCCACCAGCCCATTATGGTCCGGTAGCGACCGGCGGAGGCTGGCCTCTGAAGAATCCGGTCTCGGATCCTAGGTTATATTTATGACTTCGCCTTCCATCGTGAAAGGTAGTGGTGGTTTAAAAGCACCCAGAGGTTGGCTTGCCATTGAAAAAAGAAGAAGAAGAAGGAGAAGAAGAAGAAGAAGAAGAAGAAAAGATAAAAAGAGCTCCTTGTAGGGTTGGCCAGTGTGTTTCGTCTTCTTCTCCTTCTCTTGTTCTTCGTTCAAATATGCTTGCTGGTAATAAGTAACCGGAATGAACCCCCCCCAGAATAGAAGGGGCACTGGGTGTTCTAAACAACACAAAAAAAAAAAGAGTTCCTCGTTGCGGTCCCTCGGATGCAGAGCCCCTGCTATTGCCGTGCAGCATGCGGGGACTTTCTTTTTTTTTTTTTTTTTTTTTTTTCGAGGGGACTTTTTKTTTAAAGTTTAAACCACCAGAACATTTCCCAGCTTCGCTGATTTCTGACATTCCGGTCATCACAAACAAATATGTTCCCCTGCTATAAGGCATAGTCTTGCCCCATCAGTAATGGTGGAAGGTCGAGGTTCCGTACATCAGACGAGGAATCTCTCACCTTATTACTTTGGTTGTTCGCTGATGAAAGTGGTAAACTCATTGCCGTGTCAGACGAGTAATCGTCTGACAAATGCGGGAAAGTGGGCCCGTACATCACAATGTCCGTCTACTAATGCATCTCTGGGAAATACTGGTGGCTTAAACCTTAAGTACACGGCCGCGGCCTTGGAGAATGTTTTCTGTCGCCAAACGCAAAACTCGGAGGGGGCGAGCAGCGTGGGATGCTGTTGGAAAAAAGAATCGGCGGGCCGATGTGTGGTGCGCTGGTGCTTTAAGGTCTGCATGCTCCCACCTGTGGGCCGATGTGTGGTGTGCTGGTGCTTTAAGGTCTGCAGGAAGGCTGAAATAGGGAGGCAGTTTCTGAAAGGGGGAGTGGCCATGCGTGATGGCTCAAAAATAAAAAATAAAAAAAATTGATGGCTCTCCTACCCTCTTCACACCTGAACAGAGCGCACGGCGCACAGTCATTATGGCTGTCTCTAGACTAAACTCTGACACAAGCAAACGCGCAATGACTCTGAAGGTACTTCGGAATAGGGGAGCTACTTGTAACAGGAGAAGTGGCCATGATGGCTCTCCTACCCTCTTCGTACCTGAACAGAGCCCTTTATTCTCGCTGTTTCTTGACTACATGTTGGGACGCGTACAAAGCCATACTGATCAGGTGTTTCATTCGGGTGACGACATGCCTTAATGGGCAGAGGCGTGTAGTGGTGGTGGGGCTGCGTATTGTCCGAGCGGAGGAGTGTGCATTTGATTGCCGCCTCCGTGGTGCGGTATTGTGTGTGTCCGGTGTGGGTTCAGTTTTAATAACACGCTACAGCCCTGCAGTGGGGGGTCAAGGTCGCTGACAGCCCTGCAGTAGGGGGTGGGTTGGATATCAATCGGGTTAACAAAATGCATGATTACAAAAAAAGAGATGTTGTTCAGTAACTGCGGCTGTTGGCTTTGAAGTTTTCGGAGACGGGCTGGCGGGGGGTTGTTCGGTCAAGAACAATAAAATAAATAATTGAAATAATAATAATAATAATAATAATAATAATAATAATAATAGAAGAAAAAAGAAAAGAGGAAGTGGAGACCGGTGCATTGGTCCTGGTTATTGGTGGGGAGGAGCTGCACCTGGTGGAGATTGCGTCCAGGTCCATTCGATGCAACCGGAAAAAATAACATCTTCCAGACTTCCACCACCGAATAGCACATATGGTGAACTTAGCTGTGTTTTGGGGGAATATTCAGTCTAAGGTACATCAGTAGTCACGGTGATTGCACGCTTTTTTATATTCCTGGGAAGACGGAACCGTTACCACTCTGTTGTCAACAAGCTCTGGGCCGAGCACTATGGGCCTCGTTTGACCCTCCTTGGAGAATCCTCAGGAATTAGGATGAAATCCTTGGGAAAGTTTTTGGTTTTCGGCGTCGTCGTTGACCATGTCCTAATGCAATGGGTCTCAAGGAAAACCCTTGGAGGTCTCCGGCGGCCAATTTCATATGCATACATGCCGCTGCAGGGGCGGATGTCCCTCATCGTGATGGGATATCTGTGCATCCTCAGTGGCGGCGGCGGGGAGGCCTACCGGGCTGCAGAAAAAGAAGGGCGCCAAAATCCGGGTTCGAATGTCAAATTTTGAACCCTCCGTTGTGACTCATCCGCGCGTGAGGCGTCCTGGCGGCTGGACTCGAGACTAGGGCGAAACGTCGGTGCGGAAGAGTGATGGCGGCCATGGCTTAAAGTGGCTTAAAAGGAGGGCATTGGAACGTTGAGCGACCTAGCGTGTATGCGTAATGGCTCTCAACTGCGAGGTCGCCTTCGTGTTCCACATGCTCTTCGGGCCGTCACATCTGATTGCGAACGTAATGCTTCCGTGAAACGTGGAGAGTGTGAGCGCGGTCCCCATCGACGTGCAGAAGGTGCAGTGAGGGCGCCGGCAGGCGAACGATTGGCGGGTGTTTGCGCATCGCAAGTCATGATGACGGAGGGAGAACTCTCGGGTGGTGCGATGGCAGTAAGGGCATTGGAGAGAAACACGGTGGTCGCAGTTGTGTCAGTCGTCGCCATGCATTATCGCATTGGAAGAACAACAACTCGCCTGAGGAGGAGATTGTTCGTTCACAGGCAGAGGCAACTGATGCAACAAGTGATGGATGCACCCAATTGTGTGTCATTATCGGAATCCATTGTGCAATTATGTTGCGCCATGGCATCGGGTGTGATCCCATGGGCGACGCCGAGATGGTGGATGAGGAGAAGGACGGCAGGGACATGGGAGGATCTCAGACAGGTGACAACGCAACGGAGGGCTGCTTCAAGGAGAAGCTGCGGACTGGAGTAGTCAATGGCGCACTCCGGCTGTCTGCTGGAGGTTTCCCGCCTGTCTATCGTCATCTTCCTCACCGTACGTCGTTTTCGACTATTGCCAGGACCCGGCACAACGAAGCACACGTATAACAACACGACAAGGAGCAGGAGAAGAGTGCCCAGCAGCAGGAGCAGGAACCGCCGGGGGACGCCTGCCATGAATCGGAGCATGCGAGGTGTGTACCAAACAAAGGTTGCATCAATTCGCCCGGCAATAGCCGACAAAACACGCTAGGCAGATGACTGCAATCGGGCGGCAGTGCTTCAACATTGTAGAAAAATAAAAAAATTTGACCGTTGGACACCACGGCCGGCGACGCCGCACAGAAAACCCTGCTTCGTGAAGCGCCTTGTAGTTGAAGAACCACCCCCACACATTTCTGCGCCAACGGTAACGGTGGAAGGCCGTTGGGGGCCTGTCGGGTAATGGAGGCCTGCGATGTCCGCCCAATGGACCACGGACGACCTGTGCACCAACATCGACTCCAGGTTTTCCTGTCAGCGTTTGCTCCAGAACACTCCGTCAATCGTGGCTCCTTTAACCCAAGGGACCTCGTGAGGACCCATTGAATCCAAGGACGTTTTTGCTGGGGATTCTGAGGAACCCAAGGAAATCTCTCGGGAGCGTTTTCACATTCATTCAAGGAATTTGGTGAATTAGGACGCGGTGTAAAGACGCTGATTTCCTAAAAATCGGATTTCCAAGGACAGACCCTATATGTCTCCAAGACACTGTCTTGAGCTACCATCTTCATCTGAATGGAATGCCTAGTCATTTGTAGCTGTATTGGGCACCACTCTCCGTCCAGATGCAGCCATAATGACGAGGTGTTCTATTTGGGTGAAGACGGTAGTATTACACTGTCGCAGATTTCTCCACTATTTCCTTTGAGTGCGTCTTACAGGAATTTGGTCCAGGCCCTGGTCCAGTTGCACTGACTCGTTCTCTTTTTTTTTAACTCCCAAAAACTCGCCGCGGGAATGCTTTTACCCACCCATTATGATGAGGATGATGATGATGACGATGTCGATGAAGTGGCAGCAAAAAATTTAAAAAAAAAATCAATTTTCAAATGACTCGGTTACTTCATTGATGTAATACCCTTGGGCACTGGGCCCAGCAGACACAAAAAAAAGAAAAGAAAAAAAGGAAGCTCCATATCTCAGCCGTTCATGGGTCTAGCAACTGAGCTGGGCCAGTTGGTGTACGACTCGTTAAACCACCAGTACTTGCTAAAGTCGAGCCCGTTAACGTGCCGCGATTTTAGGAAACGTACTGGCCACTACAGGAGCGCCCAAGTTCATCCAACTAGAAACGTTTCTACTCTATTTTTTTCCGCGGCCGATAGCTACCGGGCCAAGTACTGGTGGTTTAATTAACATGTAAGTACATAAGAGTCCTGATAAGACTTATAACAAGTACATCATCACAACTTGCACATGGACATTACTTGTCTCGCCTTGCCCCAGAGTGGAACGTGTGCGCAATCATGTGACAAATGCGTTTGCCATGTTTCGCAATTGGTTTTGCGCAAATTCATGGGGCAACTTTTGCCCCATGTATATGTGCAGTGCCGCGTGCGCAGCTTTTCTCTTTTTTTTCTTTTTTTTCTTCTTCTCAACTTGGAACATTTCTCGATTTATTTGTGTGTCAACCTTACTCGCGCAGGGGCCATGCTAATCTTCCTTCTCTCTGTCGTTAATCCGATTTTTAACGGGTGTCCCGAAGGATGCACTTTTTTTTTTCAAACCGAAGGTCCAAAATAAATAAATTCAAGCTAAAAATAGCTGGGAAGCGGGCCCGACGGAACCGGCCCCAGCAACCCTCGGGTACCCCTCACATGAAACCCATGGCCGCCTGCTGCTGGGCGTGGTACTCCAGCCAAGCCCATCGCATATGAGCACTTTCAATAATGTCGAAGGTTGCGGGCTTTGCCCAATGTTGTCATCATTACCACCACATCTAAGCCAATCTGAAATGTGTGGCACTGCTCTTCTCTTCCTTTCTTTTTTTTTTCTTTTTTTTTTTTCTTTCTATATTCTTCTCTCAACTTATGTTTTTGCCTTTCACTTTTCCTTTCCTTTTCCCTCCTCTTTGTCCTTTCTTTCTCTTTCCTTAAAAAAAAAAAAAAGGCAATGGCCTTGAGATAACATCATTGAACCGACCAGCCCCTTCCTTTTCTCTACGCTTTGTCCTTTCTTTCTCTTTCCTTTTACTTAAAAAAAAAGAAAAAAAAGGCAATGTCCTTCAGATAACATCATTGACCTGACCAGCCCCAGCCCCCGCCCCCGGTAATTCAGAATGAGGTTGTTTTGGGCATCTGACTGACAGTATTGGGATTCGAAGTTGGGTCTGTATTTCAATGGTTCATGGTCGTACCATCACTATTGTTTTTTTTTTTTTGTTGTTGTTTTTTCCTTCCCAGAAAAGCCAGAAGAGCGTCACTAGGGAAGGTGATACAAGCAACCTCCGCTACCGTTTGGCCCCGAACACAACGCACCCTCATTTTGCCTGTATCTGACCGGAAATATAGCTTGTTACCTGCTTGTATATACATTCATTTCTAGGGTGCGTTATGTTCGGGGGAAGCCAGTAGTGCGCAATCTGGTTTCTCCAATCTATTGGTGGGGAGCCAAACATGGGACGCTGGAAAATGGGTCCCACGTCCCATGCAGGCTCGCCATAGTTTGATCGAAGAGGAGCCTCAGAGACTACAAGCGAAGCAACTTTTGCCGCCGCCTCTTAGTGCTGCGCAAATGGCATGGCAAGCGCCGTAGCGTAAGCTGCAGGAAAGTTGAAGATATAGTCCATACCATGCAGGCTCGCCATAGTTTGATCGAAGAGAAGCCTCAGAGACTACAAGCGAAGCAACTTTTGCCGCCGCCTCTTAGTGCTGCACAAATGGCATGGCAAGCGCCTTAGCGTAAACTGCAGGAAAGTTGAAGATATAGTCCATACCATGGATAGAGCTTGTAGAACAAAAAAAAAAGAAGAAGATATAGTCCATAAGTAACAGCATAGAAGTATTTTCGAGGAAAAAAAAAAAAAAGAAGAAGTAGAAAAAAAAAACAGCAGAAGGCGAGTGACAACTTGGCTGTCCGCATTGACTGCCCAGTGAGACTGGGGGGGGGGGAGTTAACTGAGCAGCTGCTAACTATGTGACAGTATGTGTGATGCACTCAACCCTCTTTTTCCTTTTCTTTTAACCTGCAAGGCTGCAACCTTTTTTTTCCTTTTTCCTTTCTTGAAAGATATCAACGATTTAACACCAGCACCGCAACATTGGGCTATCGTCCATTGATAAACAGATGCCCAATGTTGACATCATTACAGCCATTTCCAAGGCACTTGCAAAGGAGGGAAAATCCCGAAAGCACGCCCGCATCATTCCCCTTATGCACGGAGATACTACAGAGTCTAGTACAGACAAACAAAACTGAAAGGTACACATCTCAAATGTTTCAAACTGCCATTGTTATTAAACACACAAACACACACACACATACACACAGAAACACACACACACAAGAGAGAGAGAGAGAGAGAG